TTTTTACTTTTAAAATCAGGAGCCATAATTTTAAAAGCCTTGTACATCTGACCGCGCACATCCGTTCCGTCTTTAGTATTGCATAAGAAAATAAATCGTAGCATTTATGTGTTGATATTACGAAATCGTTTTTAAATGTTTGATTAGAGAGATGTCGGAACGTTTGAACACAGATTATATATACTTGATATACTATGACTTGTACCTAAATATATGACACATATTAATTTATTATATTGTTTTTGAATTCATTTCCTTTCATTAATATTTTCGTGCTTAAAATTAATTATTCAAGTTAATTTAAATGTGTTAAATATCAATGGGTTCATAGGTTAACTGAAAAGATCATGGATATTTGGATCAACCTTAAATTTGAATATTAAATAAGAAACAATTTAAATAACCTTTATACAGTTGTTTGAGAAATTATAGCAATGCTTAAGATTAATGTTTGGAGCGAAAGACGCCCAAACACCAATGTTAACTAGAAAAAAAGACAAAATATATTTACAAGGTTGAGACACTTTTCTCTGTCTGAATCACAATATGTGAGTCAAAGAGAAAATGTGTGCATAAAGTATATTAAAATTAAAATAAATCAAGGTGTAATAAATTATCAATATGAATAAATAAGTGGCCTGAGACTCCGTCTGTGGAGATAAAAAAAAATAATTAGTAGCTTATTTGTCCTTACAGACTATGTTCTACATCCATGTCAAATGTCATCGAGATCCGTTGAGCCGTTCTGGAGATACCTTCTACCAGACATCCAATCATTCGCATTTATAAATTAGTAAGAAGAAAATGTTGTCTATTTTACTTCTTAGAATTGACTTTTCTATAGTAAACTAGGACGTTCCACAAGTAAGTGATAAACATAGATTTTATCTGCAGCTTACAAGGTCGAAGTCCAAGAATATACAGCTCGTTGGTTATTCTGTTGCGTAGAGGTCGCTAAAGGTGGCTATAAAGTAGCTCCGCCACTAAACTGACCTCTTTGAGGCCTATCTTGACACTTAGAAGGTAAAATAATATTTTCTGTGTGATCATTGTCGCATGTCCTTCCTGAACCTACAAAATTTTTATATATTTTCTCAAGGTTGAAGTTTGAACTCAGACTTCAAGTGTTATACAGGATAATGCTTATTAGTTTTTACAAGCTTCCCTACAAACTTTCTTGGTACGGCTGTAAAGAAATGCGCATGTTTTTTGTTTTGTTTTTATATCAACAATGCGAAACAAAACAAAACATATTCGTAGAACTATTAAGTCGGAATAGTGATGTCGATTAAGATTTATTAGTTGTAGTTCGCTATCGTGTCCGGTGTCGTGTCGGCGATGCGAGCCGGGTCACGACCTCTGTAACTGCATCAATGGATACCGTTCCAGCTTTCCTCACATCCGTCGCAATGCGGCCGCTATCGTGTGGCCGAGCCTCAATGAAATGTAATCAAACATTACAAAACAACACCCGCTCCAGTTTCTACGGGCTGACGTGCGACCTGATCTATTTAGGGTGACCAACTTTTACTGCATTTACATTTTTTGATTAAGGAAATTGTTGATGTAGAAAGGACAAATATTATTTCCTAATTCCTGTTTCATAGTGAACGTGATAAAAGTAACGTTATTGAGCATCAAAAGCAGTAGTTCACTTGGATGATGTACTTATAATTTTTTTTAATTCACTAAGTTAGTCTAAATCGTGGGAATATTTAAATGTGTAATATAAAAAATCTGTTAAAATGTATTCATATATATTCTTGTAGTTTAACGAATTTACCAAAAAATAATTATAATTGTTTACAGTATCCCGATTTGCTAAGCAAATCCGTGGTAACATAAGTTAGGTGGCTGCGAGCCGAGCCGGGCGGCGGCAGCGGTGCGGCGGACAGTGACCCGGGCTATCGCGAGATCGCAGCCTCCGACCGGCCAGATGCCGAAAGATGTCAGACAGGTCCGGACTCCAGAGCTTGATGACTTAAATGGAACAATTTATATTTAAATTATCATTTGAAATTCGCGATTCGTACCATGAAGAAAAATCGAAGACCCTGTTAGGAGGCGAATTGAAAATTGCTGTGGTAAAATAATAATATCCGCATTAAATATTCGCATAAAAAAGATTGCCTAGAACAGTGGAAGTCTTTAACAACTGTTAAAATACTTAAGTTATAGACCTAAAATCATATTAATGGCAATGAGGCAGAAATCTTTCGCACTTAAAGTCAATCTCAAAGAAAAGCACTGTATTTTATTGCTATTTTATTCACACTCAATTAATATTTTACGAATCCGTATCTGTCGTAACCTTTAGCTCGCGGCTATCGGCGGTTAAAAAATAAAAGAAGACGCGTTAATATAGTATTTTGAGCGGCGCGGCGGCGGCGGCAGAGCGCTACCGCAGGTGCGTTGCCCGGCCCTCGCTACGCCCCCGCCGGCCCCACAGACCCCGACCTGCCCTCTACGCTGCCCAAGCACCCGACAATTCATTAACGAATATCTTTCTAATATGTTACATTAATTATAAGACCCAAGAAAGAGAAAAAAGTTTTAAGTTAATGAATGGTTGAGATAAATATTTATAGCTAAGGAAATGTAGAGCGTCGTGACACTGTATATTTTGGACTACTATGCATTTCTACACAGCCAGATAGATTTTGATTAATGTAAGTTTTGAGTTAAGGTATGTTTGAAACAAAAGGAGAAGTATATCTCAATTTTAATTACGTACTAAATAAAAGTACTTGAATGTATTGCGTATTTTAAATCATAGCAAACACTTTCCAACAAGTGGCATTAAATATAGCATTACATCGTTATAAACTTCTCTTAAGTAGCAAAAAGAAAAATCAAAGTAATAAAGTTGATTTTCCAACATAAATCGATGCAAAATACCTAATACCGTTTTTCTATTAGTGGACACGAAGGCGGAGGCTCATTTAGACAGGCCAATGATTTATGAACTAGAACGTATTACCACAGAGTAGAGAAAATGAGATAGAGCTTGTAATATCTTAATCGATTATAAGTTTGCATCGTTAAGTTAGTCTGCATACTTCAATCCTTTGCTCCTTATCACCGTAGAAGCAATGTTCCAATAAATAAACATAAATTGACATGTAAACGTGGCTCGCGCGACAAAATATGTTTATAAATTGATTTCGTATTTAAGATTTAGCACCTGATTCCGGATAGTGGTGTGCGGTGCATTCCAATCGAGTTTGTATGAATGATTGCTTGTTAATTGATACAATGTTTCAACCTTGTAACTGTCAATGTATTGTATAAAACTGACAATGGCCTCTTGCAACAGTAGACTGATTTAATTATAAGTACAATTTATACAACTGCTAGCTGTCGCCCGCGACTCCGACCGCGTGGATATATAAAAAACACACATCCATCTAAACATTCACATTTATAATATTAGTAAGTTTAATAAAAAGCAGCTCTTCAAGGCATAAATTCGAAAAAAATAAATAAAAAATGAATAAATTGTATCCTATGTCCGTCTCCTGACTCCTCACCAATTTTCAGCCATATCGGTAAAGCCGTTCTTGAGTTATAACTAGTGTAACTAACACGACTTTCTTTTATATATATAGATAAATTACTGTTTGTATTCAGAATAATCCTGTGGACTAAAAACACCAAGCTTAATCGGTGACTGTATCAAAAATAGACTTCTCTGTTGATAGTATTTTGAGAATATCAAGAAATAGTCAACAACATTTGAAGACCAAACAGATAGATTCTAATTAATCTACACTTAACAACAAGCGTATTATAAGTTTAAATTATTTAATTATAAAATATATCTAAACGTATAAAGAAAATACTTTAAAGTTAATACGACCAATTACAAAAAGAAAAGAAAAAAAGAAAATTTAATTAATACGTGCTAAGAGAAATAATTAAAGATCGTGTTAAACGATAAATATACAGACTTTATTGTCTGCGACAAGTTTCCGTAGGTCTATTAGATAATCCGAGATAAGAGCATGAGAAGAAAAAGATTCTAATAGAATAATATTGTCGTAGTAAATAATGTTACCACCTGCTACGTATAACCCATTACTGCCTTGACAAGGCTATAGGGCTGTCCAATTTAATTGTCAATAAAATTATTTAAATCTATAAAAATTCAAATATAATGATACTTATAGAAATATCTTCATATTTATTGATTTGTTAAAAGATATGGCATTTTATGACAGTGTTTTTATATTTATTTAAGACTTTTAGTTAAAGACTTAATGAAAAAATGTTTGTAGAAATTGACCAATAAAATTAATAATAAGATAACATGGCATCTTAGTACCAGTATAAAGTTTTCTGTTTCCAGCCACATAACTTCATTCATCATGTTATTCGTTTTGATTAGGAATAAAAGGTAAAATTGCAACAAACAAAATTAAACATCATCATCATCAGCTCACTATACGTCCCCACCGAGGGCCTCGGAGCCTACCCTAAGTTAAGGATGATTAGGCCAAAGTCAACCACGCTGGCCAAGTGCGGGTTGGTTGACTTCACACATATCTTTGAATTTCTTCTCAGATATGTGCAGATTGCATCACGATGTTTTCCTTCACCGTAAGAACGTCGGATAAATGTACATATGTAAATCGGAAACCGAAAAACACATTGGTACATGGCGGGATTCGAGCCCAGGACCTGCAGATTCCAAGTCAAGTGCTTGACCACTGAGCCACCGACGTCTTCTAACTCTATGTCCAGCTTAAAATAGGTTGCAAATGCTTATTAGGTCTCGTTATTTTTATCTTAGATAGTTGTACAATAGATAAGAAAGTACTAAGTTGTAAGTAGTGCCAGATGTACTTTCATCCTATCTGACTTTAAATATGTAAACTTCGTCTATAACATATAAAAAATTATCTAATCTAACTTGTACACTAAGAGTTAGACACTGCTACTAGAAAGGCATTGATTTATAGATATTTTAAATTATAATTTATAATCTGATTATTTATATCTCACTTATTGTAGAGCACGATGTCGGGTCTCCAGATGTGGTCTGATGGCACGTGCAGCATGTGCACTCCGCCGTACTCGCGCGGCTCCCAGCGTAGCTTGTAGTCGTACCACGACTGTTCTACCCACAGATTAGTCGTCATTATCTGGTTCTTTAAATTCTGTAACAAAAAATACAACATTTTAATTAGTTTTTATTTTAAAAAAGCCTAATTATACTCCTGTGACCAGAAATAATTAGAACCGAATAAAACCTAAACTCAATAAATAGTCAAATAGCTTAGGCTACAAGAGAATATTTGGAATGGTCATACCATATAAATCTAAGGAAAGATATGATATTGTTGTACAAAGTTCATACTCGAGCACTACTAAAATTTGAATTAAATTGATGTGGAAAAATAGTGAATTTATTTACAAAATTCTGGATACGTTTAATCGAACTTAAGAATTAAAATGTGAAGTTTTTAAAATCTTTTTTAGATGCAAAACAATATAGTCCACAAGGCAACTATTATCCAATATGTAAGTAAGCTATTGGAATTTGGACACAATCAAACTAGAGTTACAAGCGTGCGACAATCCTATCATATGTACGATAAACCACAGTATTTACGCGGCTTGTTAATAACGTTACTCGACATCAAAAGCGATTCCCAACTGTATATCGATATAATATATTATTTAAGCCACCAAAAGTTATGTAACGGAGTATTCATATATATATATTCCAAATATACTTTGTCAAAATAATTCATTTTAGACTAGACTCTACACCAAAAACTTCCTTCCGCGGAGAACTAATAAACTGAAAAATACAACCTGAGAATAGTGTAGCTTCCTAGCAAGAATTCTTCATATCGGTTATGTAGTTTTGAAGCCTATTCAATGCAAACAAATAATCAAATCTTTTCGCTTTATATTAGTATAACTAGATGGTATATACAGCCTTATATGTCTTTGGCCATGTCTACAATTTGTGTTTTGTTCTGACCAATCTATTACGATTGTTCTGATAGAGCTTAAGTTATAACTACAAAGGCACATATTGTGACCTGCCAAAACTACATTCCTTTTGTTCTCCGAGCACGGAAGCAAAGTCTCGGAGTGTTGTTGCAAAACAGCGAGTATACCCAAATATTTTAAGAGGATTACTCTGAGAGTCGCTTTGTTTTGTCGCTGGATGTGAGTACAGTCGCGTACAGTCAGAACAACGACAGTACTCCGATGCATTGCTGTCTTGCTACTTTTTGGTACATTTGTGTAGTCAAACTGTTTTGTTTTGCTTAAAACAAAAGCTACATTATTTATAAGTCGCAGCTGTATTTTACTATTATCACCAATTTTATGTGTAAATTCTAGAAATGATCTTTTCTAAATTATGTAATCTGCCTGATGTATTATAAGTTACTATTGTTATTATGTAAAAGCTTTAAAAAATCATATGAAGAAACATTCCTATAAGGGAGTGCGGCACTGTTGCATTTGACTCCAAATAAACGGATATCGATTCGATAAAATACAAATGTATATGTTATATGCTGAAATATATTATAAAACGTGTTAGAAGCTGAACAGTAAAACAGATTATCCGTATTTCAAATACCAAAAACGTGAGATCTAAATTCGCAATACTAAGGGAAAAGCTTACATCATGAATCATGTATGAGTCATCCAGAAGGCCGCCGCGTAATTTTTCCAGATAAAGCCTTTTAACACTGTTAGCTAGAAACAAATTTATCTCAACAACGATAAGATTGCTTTTACATTGAAATACGTATTTTCCGTCACGATTCTACGCTTTCTCGGAAAGTTCTCAAACAGTGGAACTTTCTATCTTAAAAATTCAGCACAACGCCAATTGCGGAACCCTTATTAACGATACAATTTACACTTATAATAATATTTATGTGGCAACGAAATATTTAAATAAACACAATTAAAATTTTTACATTTAAGACTTTAAAAAGCACCACCAGACTCGTAAATAAGGCATTAATGGACAAATAAAAATTTCCACTAACGAAATGCTTAAGTTAAACTCTGAGTGTGGCAGGTTTAGGGATTTTAAAAAAAAGTTTAATATTTATTCGTGTATAAATGGACGCCTTGTTGAGCTTTAAAAGGATACTCGACTACAAAAGTCCTTGAGGGCGCCTCGGCCATTAACCGAAACGCTTTCGTTATGAATTTCATTTTAAGGGAAATTCATTGAAACATTGTAGAAAGTGTATTAAAAAAAGGAAAACGAATCATTGACTCAGTAGTTTTGTACTAATTGTAACTTTATGACTTCTGTTTGAATTTTAATTGCAAGCTTGCATAGAACATTTCACTTTAAATTCATCATCCGTTTAACAAAAAAGATTAAGCGTAAATAGTTCTTACTGTTTGACAAGAATTTCACCAGAATGACGTCACCTTTTTCTTTGAGCAACGAATTCTTTGATGTTGCAAGTCATTGCTACTATTTATTATGTAACCTCTACAACATTCGATTGAGCGTGACAGTACTGTTAAAATATAATTTTCCTATTCTGAGTCTCTACCAGTCTCTACCAACCTACATTTATGTGAAGCTTAATTTTGTTACTTAGTTTAACACCCAGTTATTATTAATCTTATTATCAGGAGACAATTTTAACATAATAAGCTGCGCAGTTTTTTTTAATAAAAAAACCAAAGAAATACCGTTTTACAGTATCATCGGAGAATGAATTTACATGTTTTGACGTCGAGAAAACACATTTTTCTTCTTTAAAAATTTATTTTTACGCACGAGGTGCTACATGCGGTTAACGACGGTATTACTTTGATGTTATTTACTTTAAGTGATGAATTATCATCAAGTACGTACGTATAATCATATATTTTTATACATAGATCATAAAAAAGTGTAAAGATATCATGTAAAGTATTTAAAATAAATTTTAATCCCTAACCTATATCTAGTCTTAGTTCTATAAACGAAGTATCTGTCTACTAAATAAAAGTTAGAGGCAAATTTAATTCTGCCATATGCCAGTTGAACGTACGTCGTGCCGCACCTAGAAAACATCGTACTTTTTTCATTTCCGGGAGATCAATTTCGAGTGGAGTTTTTTCAAAGCTACGCGCAGCCCGACAATTTTAACGGGATTACAGTCCCACGCCTTTTGTTTTGAATACCGAATGCTACGCTCACAATTGGTATGCGAAAATCTATTGTACGGCTATTGTTATAAAGTGCTATTTACAATGTTTCTTATAAGAAATATTTTGCAGCAACCTTTGAGATTTTTCAGTACATTGTGATAACACGAAAAGTCGTAACCATGTTTATTGTTTTCTAGGTTATTTTTTTAAATGTGACACAAAGTTTATTTGAACTACGAAAACAGAATATTTTTGCGATCGTATCCAATAAAAATCCTCAATCCTCAACCTACTCGGAGTTCGCAAAGTTGTTTTGTGAGTTTGTTGTGGTTCGTTTTACTTTTAAGTAACTTTACTTGTGATATTCTGTAAGATCATCTTCTAATGAAGTTCTTGGCAACGGGTGAATTCGAGTCAGTCATTCTCAATCATTTCCAAAAGTAAATTGATAACCTAAAGGAAAGTGTACCTAAATACTACATAAACGAATGGTTATAAAATAAAAACGCGTGAACCAAACTGATAAAGTCAAAATAAAATGTTAGTATTGATAAACAGTTTTTTTTTAATTTGTTTAAATTATGCCTGTACTACTTTTAAAACCATATTTGCTATTAATTTTAAATGAAATTAAATCCAAATTATTAACTGCATAGTACCTGTCTATCCTTGTTTTATTTTTTTGTAATTACGCTTTGTTATCTACCAGTAGATAAATAAACTTCTTTTATAGTATTATTAGAATAATTATTTGCAACCCTCGAGAAAATATCTAAGCTATAAACAAAATTCAGTTGTACATTTATGCGACATAAGTAGAACATTTTATATTTTAACAGCACATTTAAAGCGACTTATTGCCAGTTATCCGAACCATGAATTTAGAGGAGCCTGTCACATAAACAATGTTCCTTCGTGTTCGTAAAATTTCATAGCACTGTTCCCGCGCTGAAAGAAGTTAAAGCCGATATTGCTCAACAATATTTCTTTTACCTTTTCCTACCAACTTTCAGACCATAATACGTTCCGCAAATAACTCAAAGGATCCTGTTTGGATTTAATATTTCATTCCGGTGTAGTCATAAGCCGCGTTATCTCCTTTATTTGCAGCCAATTGCCGCTTTGTTCAGATATTAAAGTAGGCGAAGTTCTGCAAAAATTGTTACGAGTAACTTTGTTTAGAGAGAAGAAAGGAAAGAGTTTTTTTATGCCTAGCTTAAAATTAGTATTTGCATAAAAGGAAATAACTAAGTTCTATGTAAAAATCGCAGTGTATCGGACAAGGGCGGAGATAATAATCAACATTACAAAATTTTCTTTATCTATATAAATGCTATTGTTGTGTTTTTAGCTCACATGTCCGATGTCGTCGCCGACTAATTTATATAAAAGTTAAAAACGTCATATCAGCGGTAACATCAAAAAAGGACTTGTTAAAACTTACATTATATGAATTCAAACATTTTTTTTTTGTAAATTCTGCTTCATGAAAATTAAATTTCCTCTATCATTACTTTAACTTTAAATAATAAAATAATTTTAATAAAGAATATGAGTTGTAATAGATTTAATGGATACCGTAACAAATGATGCGAATTAAATAAAAGTTCAATAATTTTTCTTACATTGCGAAAGGAATTTCTAATTTCATTGTTAAACAGTTGCATTACGTCTCAAAGAATCTTGTTTGAATTTAATATTTAAGTCGAGTGAGTCGTGAAATCAAATAGTTACCTGCAATGTCGAACGTTTCACTGCTTTGTTGACTCTATAATATTCCTTTAAAGTTATTTCTAAGCAATTCAGTTTCGTTTTTAAAATAGTGCATAGAAATATAAAAGTCAGTACTGAATTTTTCTACTACTAAGATAGGAGGAACGACAGTTTTTTTGAAAAGGTGGCACAATTAATATCTTTATTAACTAAGTGTTTTTAGATAATATTAAATAAAAAAATAACAAGTGTGTTTGTAAGCGACTTAGTTTATGTCCTACGTAAGATTTGTACGTTTTTTACAACTTAATAA